TAAGCTGTTAGACTGGGCTTTGAATCGACTATGCACCTTATTGGGATGAGTTTCCTATAGCCATGAAAGGCATGCTTTTTAAAAATCATAATCAGAGGTTTACTTTCTTTCATTTAAATACGTGATATTTCCATAACATTATCAGATCATCAAAATTTTATATGACTTGACTTGTGACTTGCCTGACATATAGTAGGGATGACTTGACTTGCTTGATTCTCACCACAGTAACTTGAGCCTTGTTTGTGACTTGCACATCTGTGATTTACTGCTACCTTTGGTATGTCCTGCAACATACTGTAATAAATGTGGTCACTGACATAGATTTTGATCAATCATCCCAATTAAACCTTCTTAATGCCACACACTGCAGAGTACTTTTGCACTGTTATTACATACTATACTGTGCTTTATTTTATTATAAATAACTGGTGGCTGAGACCAAGTGTTCCCAGTATTCTTCTGGATGTTATTGGGTGTTACAGGGTTTCAGTCATATCGAAAAACATGACCTAAACACCCACTGTCCTTTTGAACCGCCTGACAGTTTGGATACCTTATGAAACAGGCATTGATAAATGAAATAACAACATTCTTTTGAATAGAAGTTCTAGTTCTGCAGTGAGAATCTGAGGAATGCACTGTATGCTGAGGACACGCCGGCTTTAGACCTCAACCAGCAGAACGCAACGTATTTATTAAATCTGGATAGTCGCTGCATTATTATAATAATTTTTTTTTATCAGCGTATCGTGTTGATGTCACATACATTCAGTAGCAAGTGAATAGAATTTATTACGTTTATCTAGCACTGTTTTGCAGAACTGTCACTATATTCTGTATCTTATGAGCACCTGAAATGACTTGTACTCAGTGACTGTCAGGTCTGCACTTCAGATACACTAAACAAAAGTTTCTACACACTCCAAACACTAAGCTAAAAGAAGATTCTGAATGTTACTGAATGAAAAGACAGTGTGCAAATGGGTGAAAAACATTAACCTGTTACTTGGAGTTTGTCAGCATATGTGCTTTAGATCAAATTCATCACAATGAAATGATTTCATTCTTTTAATTACTAGTGTATATTAAATATTCTACAGCACACAGGAGAATGCACATAATTAATGCACTTGCATGCAACATAAGACAATGTCTTTGCCACATTATTATGCCTGCTGTGTAGACAGATGAGACCCACAGCCATTCCCCAACACCTTCACCTGTAACATCCTTCTCACAATGCAAACAAGCAGCTGCCCGCTTTGTAGTCAAGAACCCACAATGCACTGGGAGTCACTGTGCATGCTTGGCATTGGGATTTAATTGGATATTAGTATCCAGCAGTGTCTGAATTAATCAAATCATTTCCATCCATTAATTTAGTGGAGGAACATACAATTAAAGCCCTATTAGTGTGCTCTCAGGAGTATGCCTTTTCATCCCTCTGCAGAACATTGAGAGTTGGCCAGAGTCCAGTGCAGAGCATTCTCCCCACTTAAATCTGGTGCTTCCTCATGATGGGCGCCTCTGTCAATCTATACCAAGTGGCTGAGAGCTTAAAGCAAAGAAAATGTCAGGCGATAGTATGGTGCTACTCTTCCCATGGCTATAGGAAAGGCTAAAAATTTTAATTAGAGTTTATCTAAGATTGTTGACTTCTATTTTGAGTCTTTACCAATTGTCAGATTATGAATTTATTAGGTCAGAAGGCTACACATTTTGACATAAAAACTGTCCTAAATCAAGTGTTTACTGTTTTAGGCAAACATAATCCAGTGCACTAATGTAATTCAGTTTATGATTCCATATGTATACCACATTACAAATCACATGTTTTATTATGAACTTTAAACTACAGTGCACAGCTTTTAATTATTCTTCACATATAGAACTAAAATTTTTTAATTAAAAAAGGAAAGAATCTCAGCACTCAAACCTCTAATCATGTACAATGCACCATTCTGACCACCTGGTTTATCTAAGCAATATGTTTAAATGAAACATCACCCGAATTCAGGTTTCCCCCCCCTTACTTCTTGTTTGTGCATCCAAGTTAAAAACTTTTTGCACAAAGTAATCCAGACGGCTCAGATGAGCGGCCATTTTTAATTAAGACCATTTACAGAGGAAACTAAAGTTGTCATCTAAGGCTTCAGCGGATCAAAGAGTTTTAGTTGTTCTTTTCAGTGGTTACATAACATTTTGCCTACAAGCCATTCAGCCAGAGCACCATACAGTCAGACCAGAACTCGATTTCCTGCCGTGCACTTTCAGATTTCATGCAGGATACAATAATCTTGCATGTATGTTTATGTCTAAGTATAGCTATCAATCAATACAAGACTACTGGTATGTATAAGAGGACACTGTAACTAGGCAGCAACTTCTAATAAAAAATTTTTCGATTCTGGAATTCCACTTTTTGTACATTTCTGTAATTCTGTGTTTGTATGTGTGTACATATATGTGTGTTTGTGCCTGCCTCCCTGCCTGTCTGGCTGGCTGGCTGCCATGTAGCCCACCTCTTACTGTCATCCTGTCTTGACATTAGGGCTAAGCTGGATCTCATTAGGACCCAAGGTGGCATTGATCCCGTCAACATCGCTTTGGCTCCTGCCATATGGGTCGCCTCCAAGGTAACGTGGCTGTATCAGTCTCCTCAGAGCTGCAAGCCTTGTTAGAGCGCACACACAGACAGGGTATCTAGTCTGTAGGCGAGTGTGTGCTTTACATTCAAAGCTGAATAAACATGTCAAACTGGGGAGACATTAAAAGCATACTGATAAGCTAATCAGGTCAGATCTAAGAGTGTGATTCAGTATAATTAAATAAATACACAAAACATATTACAAGGACTACATCGAATGTAGTTTTTATGATCTGTGAATGAAGAAAACATCTTGTCATAGGCAGACCTTATTCAGATCAGTTGTTATTAGATATATAGTTAAGTCTGACCAAATCCCGCCACACATTTTCAGTGGCAGAAGAATTACTCAATGTAAATATGAAGAATGGCACATTTTACATTCATGTATATCATATTGTTGGATTATAATTATTGAGGCATTATTGTGTTGATCACTTTGTTGCAGCTGCTAAAAGAGGGAGCTAATTGTAAATACCTTATGTTATTAATTTGAAGTACTTTACATGCTGCTGGGTACCTTGGGAATTTCACACTGAGGATAAATCAAGTCTTATTATACTGTATTTTGTTTTATTAATATCATTCTGAAAAGTAACTAAAGCTATCAAATAAATGTAGTGAGTACAGAGTACAATATTTTTCTTGGAAATACAGTGAAGCTGAAGTATGAAGTAGCAGAAAATGGAACTACTCAAGAAAAGTACAAAAACCTCAAAATTGTACATAAGTGCTTGAGTAAATGTATTTAGTTACTTTCCACCTCTGCACATTTTACAGTAAAAGATGGCAGAATGTTTTTTAAATATCTTGTTCAGTAATACAGTTATGCATACTGTAACTCTTGGCATAAAATGTGAAGCAACAACCAGCCACCATCAGCAGCAGAGTTTTACATTGTACTTAATCTACAGTAAATCAGTTTGCAGTTGATGACCTCTGTGAATCTGCAGTGATAAAACACTGTAATAAACCGACTTTATCCCCAGTCCTGTTCTCCAAACATGTCCCTGCAATAATGAATGGCAGCAGCTGAGATGAAGGCAATGAAAACAGACAACTGAAAATGGCAGCGCAATCAGTGATCTTCAAAGTTGGTTACTGTAAATTCAATCAGGCAAAATTGTCGCTCTAATAAATCTCCATTTTGAGTTTTTGTGCAACATCACTGTGCAAACTCAATCTGGACCTGTCATGGTCAAACACAGAGGAGCAATGTCCACCAGTGTCCCAGCAGCAGTACAGTACTTCTCTTACACCAAGCGTCAAAGCCCTGCAAGTAAGCGGGAAGTTATTCATGCCTTTGTTTAGTGCTTCTTTGCTCCAGCTCATAAAAACTGTGAATTTATGACATCCCATGTATACAGAGATAACAGTGTATCTTGTAAAAACACCAGCAAAAAGCCACTGTTATTTTAAAACCCAACAATCACTATCCAAATTGCCTACACATAGGACCACAAACCTTTCTTTTGATTTGCTGTAAATAATCAGTAGCATCTCTCACTGTGAATATACAGATACTTCTGTATTTTCAACAGTGTTACCACTTGTTTCATGGTCTAGATTACAGTTTACTTCCTTTAGTTCCACATGCAACTAGGACAGCAGAATACACTGGAAGCACAGCAACTGTTTCAGAGTTGCACTTTGCCAGATTGGCAGTTATTATAGGTTTTTTTTTCCCTTTGGCCTGTTTGTTTTGTTTCAGCCCCCACCTTCACAAAAGCAACTGTTTATTTCATCAGTTTGGCAACAAAAGCATCTGATCAATCATTCATAATTTATTATGCTGCCAATGGCCTAGGGCCCATAAAAACAGACATTTGCATTACACAAGGACTTAGCTGGACCTCCTGATAACAGACCAATTAATTTTGGTGTTATATATATACACAGGCTCCTGATAAGAGGTAAACTTTGCCACTGTTTTACAGTAGAACACAGAGCAGTGCTAGCAGAGGTGATGTTGTGATCACACACTGCAACAATGACCTGGACCCTATCCTTTAATTCCTGTTGCCCCTGCCAGCATCCCGCTGCCTTTCCCAAGCCCTGCAGTTGTTATTATTTTGCACTTCTCAAAGCAAACGCCCTAAATCCCTTGTGCAGTATGAGTCTGACTGTAACAAACTGGCCCTCCATTTATCTGATCCTCTAGAGAGACAGGCTATTATACAGGTACACTGATAGAGAAAAACATCATTTAGGAAAAATGAAAACTGCTGCTCTCTTTTAAGCTGAGGAATGTTTATCGCTACTCAGAGCAACACAGTTTTCAAGCCAGAGATCTGATGGTGCTACTGTGAAAGGCACTCAGACTACACTGATGTGTCGTCATTCTCCTTACCTCGACATGCTGTCCGTGATGCAGTTCTGACCCAGGTATCCTTCACCTCTTGTTGACAGCGACCCCTGTGACACGCCTGGCCGAGATTTCCATGACTCCATTAATGCCGTTACGGGTGAAATTAGATTCAACAAAGGATTGGACCGGTCCCCCACATCATGCCGTGTGAAAGACATTGTTCCTTGCGCTCCAATCTGGTAATGGAATGAGTGTCCACCGGAATTAACTCCAACAATGGCCGATGTGGGCATGCTGTTATTCTCTTGGTAATAGCTGCCATCATTGGACTCCTGTTTAACCCCTTTAGACAGGACATTGTTGGAGAACACATCAGGCTCAAAGTTCCCATTCATAGAGGGTACAGGGGGTCCTAAGATACCAGAAAGACTGTATTCATCAATATTATTCCTCAGGGACAGATAGTTGGTCTCAGGCGCTGAGAAGAGACCAAGAGATGGTGACTGCTCACCGTAGGGCTGTTGATTCATACATCCCACATTTTTGTTTGGCTCACTCTTAATCTGTGTGACAAAGGGTGTGGTGCTCGCATTGCACTTGGAGCTGCCTAAACACATGCTCCTGAAATCAGTTCCAGGCTCATTCTTAATGTACTTAACCATGCCTACCTGGTCTAAGCCGACGTTGAACACCTCCCCATCTACCATCTCTACTTTAGGGAACTCAAAGTTCTTGAAGTCTGTATCTCTGATCAGACCTGTTGCTTCTGGGCTGTTGGTGTCATTCTGCACCAAACCCAGTCCACCAGCAGGACTGGACACAGCAAACCCACCAGAAGACAGGTTCTGTGGGCTGCTGACAGCCATAGGGGCCCCTGTGGCCGGACTGGAGATGGAGAGCCTTACTGTGTTGCAGTTGATGGCAGTGCTGGTGCAGCTGCCACCTGTAGGGCTTGAAACAGATGATCTAATGTTACAAGTAGTGCTGCAGGATGGAGGGGATCTCACACTGCTCATACTCTGGGGGCTGGACATGGGGGACCTCATGATGTTGAGCGGGCTGGTGAGTGGTGGTGAGCCCACTGTGCTCGACTCCACAGGGCTGCATGTGGCTGAATTCCTGTGTTTGATGTTGGCCAGAGTTGCAGCACAAGATGTCTGGCTGACAGGACTACTGACGGAGGAGCACATTGGTCCAAAGCACGTAAGAGGACTGGTAGTTGATGACACCATATTATTGCTGCCCCCAGGGCTAGAGATGGAGCTGGAGGTCTGGGGACTGCAGGACAGCGATGAGGCCATCATAGGCTTTGAGCTAGCTGGAGTCCCAGCGATACATTCTCTGGGAGTTGTGCTGGACTGCTGGAAACCAAAAGGCTTTAACTTGGGGCTGTTTGTGGAACTGCACCGGGTGTCCTCCAGAGGCCGTCCACACACTGGATACATCTTCCCAGGGCTGGTACTGCCCCCTTGTTGGCTAAAGCCAAAGTCTGCCTCCCTGGCAGCATTCATATACAGGCCCATAGACTCAGCCACAGTCTTGGAAAGCTCCTTGGAGTCCATTTCCTGCTTATGAGCATGGAGAGAGTTGTTGAAGTGTGGGAGTGCAAATGGCTGGGTCTGGCTGAGCCGAAGCATTTGCTGGCCCTGCTTCTTTGTACTGTTGTCTTTGCAGTCAGTGGTCGGGCTTCCAGCAGGGCAGCTGACACTGACTATGTCCATCAGGATATCACTACTAGTCAGACTCTGAGCCTCAGTATTGCAGCTGTACTCCATGGTGCTGGGGGCCTGAGACCATTTGTTCTCTGTATCACTTCCATCAAATAAACTTTGGTATCTTTTGGTTTCCATTGCTGGTTCATCGATTCACCTGGTAAATTATGAAGAAAAGAATGAGAAAAGTTTGAAGTGTTGTTGTTATAGCTCAGCTGCACACAAGCCACTGGTTTAATAGTAGGCTAATAGTTGAGTGGCAGGTGTATTAAGGACAGAGATAAGCTCTAGACTAAATCATTTAATCAGGAACATGTTACTCAATCTTAAATTTGAAGTGTAAATATAGTGTTTTGGTTTTGGATAGATGCCAAAGCAGTAAGTTTGGTTTCAGTGAATAAAAACCTAATTAGGATAAAAATGTGAGTTAATAAAGGGCAGTGACATGACGTAGATATTTCATTTCCAAATAAGACACTGGATTTCACTTATTTTGATCATATAACTTACAGTACGCTTGAAGAATACAATTAAAAAAAAACATAAATGATGCTCTGTTAAATCTGAAAGTCCAAGTAAAGTCTGTCCAGTATTTCCTCTCTCACACAGATAAAGCTGCTAATCACTATAGTACAGTAAATGTACAGTTTGATAACTCAAGGAAAACGGCACTGCAAGTGTTAATGACTTTACGTGACGTCGTCTGGGCTTGTATAAATCTGCTACACCTCTATTGGACAACTCGGCCAGAAATCCACCAGCTTCATCAGGCCTTTCATGGATTGGACAGAAAGCTGTCACTCAACAGTTATTGCTCTTGCAGCCACAACATAGCTGCGACACAACTTGAAATGTTTTAGCGGCTGGAGCGGCTCCTTCTGTACAAAAGAAATCAAAATCCTGACGTTGCATTTGACATAACAGATTGCGATTATTAGGCACCACTTTAGGTGATGCTTCAATATTTAGTCCTCATGCTGCGCTGCACTCCTGGAAGGGCTCACAGCTGGAGATAGCAGCGATATCGGAGTTAAAGTTATGCAGGCTGTCTGCAAAATATCGATTGCAAATTATGTGCAGATCCTTAAATATGTTAGAAAAGATAAGTAAAAGAGATTTCAACTTGATCATTTCACCCTGTGCTCCTGCTGTGATCGCCCTGCCTCTGTAGGACCTGCAACTCTCTGCATGTCTCTCCATTTTGCCTTTGCGCAGGATAAATATTAAAAGACTATTGTTGCTGCTGAAGTTACTTGTTTCTGTATAAAAATCGTGGCTATTTTGTTTGTACATAAAGTACATAAACTTCTTTGCGACTTTTTTATGGACCAGACGCAAGATAACGGTCCCGATTGAAAGTTATTAGATTTCTGTCCAGCGGCAAATGGACCGGGGATGCAGTCTTCACTTATCCGACTGGGCAACAAGGAGTTTGCTTTCATGACCATCCCAGACCCAGAGCCAAATTAAAACGTACAGTCACACAGTGAGCTCCGTTCTTCCTTACCTTAATTACGACATTCAGAGTTGTCAGGTGGCTGTGTTGCTGGGCAGCGATAATCCAGGGGACAAAAAAAAGACACACAAAGCAAAGTCAATAAATATCAACACATGTGTTCTTGTCTACTCTTTCCAATACATAGTTTTCAGTTTGACAGCTAGACGCACTGGAGAAGTCTACTGCGTATTATCACTAATAATCGTCCACAGCGAGCCGCTGCTCCTGATAGGACGAGCGACAGCGACGGGTCGAGCGACAGCGGCAGATCATCTCACATTGTGGCCGTCATTTTGCAGATTACCGATTCGGGGCCCGAGATTAAAAGAGTAATAAAAACAAACGAAGGAGTCGGTCGGACTTGCAGTCAGAGCGACGTCATTCTGTGCACATGGACCCTCCTACTGCAACGAGTGCAACACAAACTCCGAGGAGGAGGAGCAGCGTGGAGCTGGAGCTGCCTTTTGATTCCAATAAGTTTGTTACACTTTTCTTCTGGTGTCACATTCTCTGTCTCGTTCTTTCCTCATATTTTTTTTTATTGTTTCGGAAAAGGTTTGCAATTGAGCCTGCGCGCGTTCGTGCACGTGCACGCGCTGACATACTTTGGATAAGAGGAGATAGAGCGGGAGCCTTCCCAGCCTCACTTTAGGGTTAATATGGAGCTTATAAACCCTGTAAATGGTGGGAGAAGCGTCATGCTGCTGTGAGAGTGAAGCCAAAGCCAGGATGTTGCCCTGTAACATTATAACGGTCGCTTCCACTAGGTGGTGCAATATTTCTATAGCTGTTCAAAAGGAAAATCTATTGGGTAGTCAAGGTGTCATTTATTTCAGTTCATACAAAATTATGTGTTTCACACCACCAGTGAGACAAAGCACAATGAGACAGTCAAGTTGGCATAGTTTAACTTGGCTTAGATGACATTAGTAAAGCTCACTGATAATGTCTTCTGGTACAGTCAGAAGATGGCAAAAAATGTATTTACTGTATCTGTGACACCAACAAAAATAGTTTGGACTCTGTTTGTCTGATTAATAGTTATTTATTTTTTACTGCCACAGTCTCATGTCACTGATACAAATGAACACTGAACATCCAGTCAGTTTGTTCTCAGGAATTGTCAGGTAGTGGAGTCATTTCCTTTGTGTGTTTCACATGGCTGTGCATGTAGGATTCAGGCTTTGAGAGCGGCACTGCAAACAGTAGTCTGAATGCTTATCCTCCTGGCTTTTCTGAGTTTTCCAAGTCAGCCTGTAGCCATTAGTGAGGCAGCAGCACTTAGTGTAGATTAGTCAAAGCCATCCAAGCAACACTGCCCACCTCCCTGATCTGCCTGTTAATCACCCGTGAATGGTCACCTGCTCCAGAACAGGCAGGAGAATTGAGATATAATCGGTTTCCCACCCCCAATTTATGCAGCTCCCACTTGTCCGTTGCACATAATAGGTGCCAGTCAAACACATCATGAGCAAACTTTATTTAGTTTTGCATCATAGATTTTTCCACAGTGTCAGAGTCATAAGAACTGACAGCAGAACCTGGCTGAAATGAAATCAGTTATAATTGGCTCCCTCACTGGTAGAAATTGAAGGCAGCTCCATTGAATCTCACTGAGCTTTCAAGCTCCATCATTTTAGTCAAATCAGTGGTAATCACATGAGCCGAAAACATTGGACATACTGTACATGGGAGATAAAAATAGTTTTCTTTTGAGGAGTTGGAGATGGAAAATCTTTTCAGATGAGTGATTGCTGTGATTAGGAACCAGCTTTGTCGCCAGTTTAGACATAAAACAGACAACTCCAGTAGTGGCTGAGAGGGCCAGAGGATAACAGAGAGGTGAAGCTGTGCCTCATGAGAACAGGTGAATAGGAGTAAGTTAACTCTAAAATCAAACACCTGTCAACTCAGCAGAAGGCCCTGTCCCCATCGCGTGTGGTAATTACAGAGGTAGTTTTAATCAGGGATCCAGTCAGTCACCACGACCTTCCCTCAGCTCCTTCTTGTTCCACTTTAGCAGACTTATTCTTAAGGGCCATTCACATCTAAAGTGATAATGTAGCTGTCCCAGCAGTAATCTATTTAATTGCCATTTCCTCTTCTCTCTCACGACTTTGATTTGACAAATTGGTGTTGACTTTGTATCCAAGAAGTCACTCTAATCTTTTTTTAGGTGCTATAAGGGAGCACCTAAGTTAAACCTGTGAGCCTGTTGGTAAACGTTGCACAGCCAGCATATAGAGCAACATCAGCATTCATGGTCACCCGATGAACATACGTCCAATAATCGCTCTCAGCTCTGTTTTGGTCTACATCAGCTACCGAGGAAAATATCTGGCTGTTAACAATGTTCTTTAGCCTGTTGCTAACTTTATCTGTCATTTGGTTCTGGACAAGTAACATACAGCTGGTGAAGAGCTTTTTCACTGAAACACCTGTCCAGCTGTAACAGAATTACTAAATCATTAGTGTTTGTCCAGAACC